AGGACGTTCATTAGTTGATTTTCCTGATTATATGATTAAAGATCGTTCGTATTCTATTAAAATTTTTAATTCTATTATCATTTTCTCTTCATTTTTATAGCTGGTAAATACAAAGTACGAGTTGTAAGTGTTGAATCACCTGAGATACAAACTCCATGGCAAGATATAATTGTCGGTAAGTTTATTTGTTCTATAAGATACTCAGTTTTTTTTGGTGTCTCTCAACGTGTTATCTATCCTTGTGTTATTAAATTATATACACATTTCTTTTTATTCTTATCAGTATAGAATACTTTTTTTTTAAAAAATGTGTAAGTCTATTATCATAAATGAAATTGCGCTTGTGATTGCTACTACCTGCTGCTACTGTTGTAATTCTATTGATCTGTGAGTAGGTTACTAAAATCAATATCAATAGTTATTTCGCTCGGTCGACATCTATTCTTTCCTATAATTACTTCTATTCTATAAAATCAACAACAATAATAATATAGTAGCTGTATTTTTAATTCAATGTCACAAACGATTATACATAGAAATAATCATACAAAAGATGATAATGATATATTAATTTATGATTATCCACTGGGTGGTAAAGTTAAATATTTAACACCAAGAAAATATCGTGTAACACAACGTGCACAATTACCTAATGTTTTTCCAACAACTAATATTGAGGATGAAAACGAATTGAATGCAGGTGATTATACTTTAACACCATCAAAATATCGTATGAACAAAATCAATCAAGATAATACATATATTAATGAACAATCTAAACAAGAATCTCATGAAAATATTCGTCAAAATATCAATGAACTAATTGAGAATAATGAGTCAGTTGTTATAGGTGATTTTATATTAACTAAAAAACCAGTGGAAGATAAGAGTATCTATAGTTATAAACCTAAACATACTCATACGTCCTACATATACAAAGGTACTCTAGACGCGTCTGAAGTACAGGAACGTGCTAAAAATAATATACAAGAATATATTAAACAACGTAGTCGATCATCATCACCAACTCGTGCTCATGAGAGAAATATTGATTTACATACACCTCCAATACCATCTAATAATGATTCAAAATTTGATTTTTCGTCAAATATGGTTCCATCAACAACACATTCACATACTACTACGATAGATCAAAAGAATATATATTATTTCGGTGAAAAATCTGGAAGTTTTTCAACAAACGAAGACGAAGATATCTCGAATGAAAGTCAATTGTGTGTACTATTTAATCGTCCTGTACACGATACACTAATTATCAAAAATCCACCACGATCAATTTCTACTCATTCGATCAATGATAATAATAAGAATTTTACTGTTCAAGAAGTGATTGATATTGGAACATCAACAGATGATTTTTTATTAGATGCAACAAACGATGATCAAACAAGAACTATTAGTAAACAACTTTCGTTAGTTACAAATCAAAGTTCTCGTACTGAAGCAGAAACATATAGAGTTAATAATACAAATATGGAACATGAAAATTATGAAGATTACTCTGTTAATCCATTATCAATAGTTAAACATCCCGGAAGTCTTTCTTCGAGTTATACAACAACAGATCGTCCGTATATGAATTTAAAGGAATCGACTACATACGAAATCAATGATACAGATAGAAATCAAGGAAATTATTATGTCAATGATGATGGTAGTTCTCGATCTAGTGCAAGACCTTCAGCAGGAATTCAAAATTTATCGAGAAATAATCCACTTGCTAGAGAACCACCGTCTGAATATCAAGGATATGGTGGAAATAATTATCAACCAGATCCAAGTATATCTGTCCAATCGAGCAGAAGCAATAGATCACGTATAAGTTTATCAAATGTATTTCACCGAAAAAAAAACGTTGAAAAACCAAAAAAAGAAAAAAAGCAGAAGAGATAAAATGAAAAACCCAGACATTTAGTTTTATTATGTTTTTTTCCTTTGTGATTAAGTAGATATTCTTTTTTTTTTCTTTTTTTTCAATATACCGTTTTTCCGTCTTATATTAATGATAATATATCAAAAGAAGAAACAAAAGCCTATTTTAGAATGACAAAAAGACAATGTCAATAAGAGACTCGAAAAAAGAATGTGATAAAACATTGAAGTATATGCGTAGGCACAACGACTTTTATCAGTTCGAGACGAAAAAAAATATATATCTTTGACTTTTATTCTTGTTTTATAGCCTCAAAACCAACAACTTTACCTTCAAAAACATCTGACAATCAACAAGGCTTATCTTCTAATACAACAATTCATCGGCCAATTTCAACAACACCGACTGATTTAGATGATGATGAAGTAGTAGGTATTACGACTGTTTTTAATAATCGATCTCAACGCTTTCCTCGAACACCAAGACCATATCGTCGTAATTCATTTGACGATAGTAAAGAAGAAGACGAGAATTCTGATGCAATGCAACGACGTGGTGATAATAATACATCAAAAACAAGTGTACAAAAAGCAAAACTTATTGATGAAAGTACTCAATCGGAAGAAAAATCTACACGAAGTATTGGTATAATGCATGAACCAGTTAAAACAAAAAATTTTGGTAATGAAGCTCAACCACAATCATCAGCAACACAAACATCATTTTCATTAAAAGAAAAACCATCAAAAGCACGATTCACTTATATAGAACGATCTGAACAACGAAAAACACCAATCGATGAACTTTATACAGATTCACAAATGTCTCCTCGACTACGATATCCACTTAGAGAAGATATTGCCTATCCTCGATATGAAAAAGTACCTTATGAGTGCTCCACACGAAGATCTCCACTTACAACGAACTATCCATATGATGAACAACAACCCTATTATCATGCAGAATACAATGATCATGAGGATCATCATCATCATCATCATTCTCCTTCACCAACTTCATATCGTCCCACGAGTACAACACTATATCGATCTCGTACACCATCACCTCAACGTCAGCCTTACATTCCAACACAATTACCTCAACGTCGACCTTATACTCCCACACAATTACCTCAACGTCGAACGCATACTCCTTCACCTACACATCAGTTACGAGGTCCTTCACCACAACGTCGACCACGATCAAATGTTCCACGACATCGACCAGTGATGCGTTCACAAGAAACAGATACAAGTTTAGATGCAATGAAACAACGACAAAATGCAGGTGTTCAATATGAACCTCGATCAACGAAAGAAATAGGAACTACACCTAGTTTACGAACAAAAACTCAAACAACGAATTATCATTCAAAACCTCTTAATACATCGATATATTCTCAACAAAACTATCCTACAACATCACCATCATCTAAACATCATGATCTTTCACAAAATAATTTTCATATTCAATCAAAAACAACAGATAATTATAGAAATTATTATCGAAAAGAAGAAGAAGAAGAAGAATATGAAGAAGAAGAGGACGATGACGAAGAAGAATCACCTTCAATGCATGATAAATCAACAATGGCTGAACTTACTGTTAGTTTTGATCATTATACACAATGTGACTCACAACCTTTTATGGCTGATCGTTATATTCAAACAACACCAACAGAAGATAAACAAGGAAATATGTATGAATATGTAGAACAACCAGATATTCGACAATTACCACGTCGTACTTCAACATACATTCCACAACCGGTTATTATTCAACCTGATACATTACCACGTATACGTCGTGCACAACATTCTCCAACACGTCCAAAACGTGATGGACTTGATTATACTGGAGGTATTCTTGAAGTTTCACTACAACATGGTCATGTACAACGAACAACACCTATACCTGAAACACCCTTACTTAATATCGGTACGGAAAATATTATTCTTCATTCATCTACAGATGAATATACTATTCCATTTGAAATACGTTATCCACATGATTCTTTCCCATCAAGATCACGAAATAGTCCATATATTATACCTGTTCATGAATCGCCACGAACTCGCATAGTTAATAGTAGCGCTGTACGTCAATCACAAAATAATGGAAATTTCTTTTTAACAACGGCACCATCACGTCCATTAAATTCATTAGTACATATTGATATAGCAACTGATGAATATTAACAAAATTCAGTTTTTTTTCTATGTTGTATTTTGAGCTTTAACTATCTTGTGTCGATGATAATTAGAATTCTGTTGAATTTTTTTTGTATGTAGAAATGACAACCACCGGTTCTTTTGTTTATTCAAATATTTTTGCTACTATATAAAACTATCTATTCTATACATTATTATTTATTTATTTTCGTCATTGTCTTATTAGCCCGTGATGATAAGGAAACAGTACATTTTTCTCTTTTTCTTCTTCTTCTTTTTCTTCATTTTTTTTTGTATTGAACTAGCCTTCTCTTATAAGTAGTGAACAGTGATGATATGATTTTTTTTTCGTCTTCTCATATTGTGCATAATAAAGAATAAACAAGTATTGCTTCATATCCATTAGATCAAAAATTGAGTTTATAAACGAAGTTACTTGAATAACTAGTGACAACAAGGTTATTCTCTTCTTCAACATATATTTCGATTTGTTGTTTTAAAACTAAACCACTGATGACTAATGAGGGTATGGGTATGGGTGTGAAGTAGGCAAAGGTACACAAACATGTTGTTTTTTATCAATTTTATCTAGTTGTATTCTATGCATAGTGTTACCGATGAGCTAAATATTGTTTTTCACGCTACTACTAATAGCAACATTGAATAACCTTCATTAGCGAAGGATTAATAGAGCAAACAAAATTGTATATAACCAGTGCATAACAATAGTAGGACAAAGTTATAATATTTTTTTCTTTTCGTTTCACCTGAAGGCTCGAAATAACACGTGTAGAAAATAAAATATTCTAATAACGTTAATAGCGATCGATAATCGAACATTATTCATCATTACGATCAGCGTTATTTCAATTCGAAATACACAATTATTTTCACTGTTACGAGAGAAACGAAATATAATTATTGTTTAATATAAAATGGGACAATGTATGCCGAAATGTCTCAAACCAAGTATTTCATTGGAATCGATCATTACTGTTGTCGAAGATCGAGCCACACAAACAATAGTTTCTTCTATAATTTCACCTAGAACATTGTCTTTCACAAGACCATGGCAAGTTCGTATTGTTCAAAATTTCGAGTTACTCTGGTTAGACTCGAACATTGATGAGCTTGATCCAGACTTTAAATATTCACTTGCTCAACTGCGACGAATTGTCAATTCAATTCATACATTTACTAATCCTGATTCATGTGTGAATTTTCTCAATGAAATAAAAAATGAAAAGGCATTTTTACTCATATCGGGTAGATTTTGTCAATCAGTCATACCAGTTATTCATGATGCAGCTCAACTTGATTCTATCTATATATTTTGTGAAAATAAGTCAAAATATGAACAGTGGGCTTTGGATTGGACAAAGATAAAGGGTGTTTTTACTCAGATCGAGACTATTTGTGATGCACTAAAACAAGATACTCAACAATGTAATTATGATTCTGTTTCTATCAGTGTGACAAGTAAAAATGTGGATCGTTTAGAACCATCATTTATGTATACACAGTTGCTCAAAGAAATACTTCTTGATATGGAATATGATGATACGGCAAAGACAGAACTTGTTGAATTTTGTCGAGAACAATTTCATGATAATCCACATGAATTGCAAATTATCGATGAATTCCAACGAGATTATCATGTTCATACACCTATCTGGTGGTACACTTGTGAATGTTTTACTTATCAACTACTTAATCGAGCTCTTCGTATACAAGATGTTGAAATTATTATCAAAATGGGGTTTTTCTTACGTGATGTTCATCGACATCTTAAAGAATTACATTCAGAAATCGATCCAAGCATTTTTATTACTGTTTATCGAGGTAAAAGTATGCCAATTGCTGATTTTGATGAGATAAAAAATCGAAAAGATGGTCTATTAGCATTTAATACCTTCTTATCGACGAGTCTAAATGAAGAAGTTTCATTACAATTCGCTAAAAAGTCACTTAAAAAGGCTGGTACAATCGGTGTTCTTTTTCAAATTACTGTTGATCCATCGGTTCCTTCAACTCCATTCGCCCCAATTAGAGCAGTTAGTGCTATTCCAAGTGAAGATGAAATCTTATTTTCTATGCACACTGTATTTCG